AGCAACGTCAAAGCCAAACCTCTCCCATTAATTGTCTTTCTGGGGATTCTGAGGTACTTTGCCAAACCCGCAATCTGCAGCCCTCGTTGGGATTACCAGAGTTGGCAACATTCATGTCGGAGGCGCTTTCAGCAGCATGCTGCGCCTGGGTGTCCGCCTGACAGCTTGGTCAAGCCGCTGCTGGACCCACCCTCGAACAACCGCCCCCCAAGTTGCACGCGTCCCCACCAACCCGCAACAACAATGCTTTTCCAGGCATCCAAAACAACAACCCCCCGCCAAACAAGCCCCATCCCCAGCAACACGCCGCTAAATAGCACGTGCTTCCTCGGATTGCGGGCCCATTTCATACACCTGTAACTTGCCATTCGACGCCTGGTGTTCAAGATACGTGCTAACACCCTTCTCGTGGTCGCAGGCAAACTGGTGGCACGTGTGAAGCTCAGCACAGAATGGCGCAACACCTTGAATACGACATGTCGTCCTCTAGAGGGTAAGCTGCTTCAATCACTTCGATACCGGCCTATGTTCGGACGCATGCGGCGAAGCGTGCAAGCCTGTGCATGAGTTTCCCAAGCAAACGCAAAGGCCGAGCGCAAGCAAGAATTCGATGCGGGCACCATCTGGTTGGTGTTGAGGCCGAATCTCAGCTAGCTTTCCTGTGAATGGATGCGAATGTTGGCTTTGCCACCTTGTCTGTTTGGTTCATGGTTCATGAACTCCAGGATCTACATGACAAGGCAGTGCCATGCAAGCTGAAGCGGCTGAGCGTTGACCAAGATGACAAAAAGAAACGGGCCTCTCGATTGCAGTCGAAGCTTCAAAATCACGATGGTACTGGCGAGGGTTGGGTGTGTGTGTGTGTGTAATGAACTTGTGCTCGCAAACGCAGCTGCGCACACGGAAAGACGTGGTCCTGGCCTCAAGCATGCATGCATCACAAAACACAAGCAAGCGTGCACACAACCGCACTGAGAACGTATTTAAAACCAGGGCCTTCAGCGACACTGTGATCATTTTTGTTGGCACTTTGGTTGGCTGCGGCATGACTCTCGAAGTAACATGCGCCGGGAAGTGCCAACGACATGCTCACGGTTTACACTCGTGCAAAAGCAGGTTGTCCGGCCCTGTTTCGAAAGTGTTGTTTCGCCTAAACGAAACACACGTGTTCTCTCAAAGAGTCGGCGTGGCGTTGATTCTTTTCGCACCACAGCCTTCTATTGGCCGTGAACCTGCGAATTTGATGGGCTGACATGTCTGCCACATAGACTCATCCTGATATATCTGTGGAAGGGAAGGTTCCGAAAAGAGTGATGCCAATCTCCAAGGGGGCAGCTCCACAAGCCACCACAGGTGCATTCACGGTGCCCCGAAACGTGCGAATGTTTATAGCGCACCATCCAAGCCGAACAAAATCAAGTGCATTTGTTGCATTTGGATTAAACCAAAGTGGTCAGTGACTGGCCGCCGCCTCCTTGGCCTCCTTGCTGAAAGCATTCTTCAGGCCCTGAAGGAACGGATTCAGGGCTTTTTTCACCTCCGTGTTGGTCTTGTCTGTCTGCTTCTGAATCTGCTGCTGCTCTTCTTGCTGCTGCCCTTGCCACTGATGCAGCTGCTGCCTTGGATTCCACAAATTCCACCAAGGGCTACCAAATTGCTTGCCACGGATTACTTTGACCCTTACAAGCCCTCCTTCCAGTTCTGGCGATATTTCTCCGTGCCTGCCGATCGGCATTGTCACAAAATGATACAAGTGTGTCTGTTAGGGGACACTCCAACAGGTGGTTTTCCTCTTGGTGTTCCTTCAAAACCATCGAGAACGGGGTACCAACTCAAAAAGACGCACCCTTACAAATGGACTTCTCAATGGCACTCGACTGCGCGCACCAGACCTCTTTGCTTTCCAAACGCATGCGCCATAAGCAAGCGACTGCCTCTGCTGCTCCAGGTACTCTGCTTTCTTCTGCATCGCCTGCCAAGCTTCTGTTGAACCTGAACCTAAATCAAACATCCAAGGCCCGACAATCTGCACGCCCGAATTTCAGAAGGAAGGTCGTCAAGCACCCGCGTTTTTTAAACCCAAACCTACAAACTTCTCAAGTAGCATCACAGCCGAAGGATCAGCATTCACACAAGAACCAGGGGTTCAACATCCGCGGACTCACGTCTGCACCAAAAGTATGGGTGGGGCACCGCGCGCGCGCAAGCAAGTCAGACATGATTCCCATTGATGCAAAGGCAAACGGATTTGCACACGGCCCAGATGATTTGGCCATGCTTCAAAAACCATGTGAGCAAAACATCCTCATGAACACTAGGTCCTCCAGTAGAGAGGTTAGAATAAGGGTACCCTTTTTTCTGCAGTCTATTTTAGTAGGGGAGCCCTAAACATGGTGCTTGTCATGCTTTGAACGACACCCACGCGAGTGTTCAGTCAAAGGCGACCCCAGCCGCTCCTCCTGCTGCTGCTCCATCTGGTGCTGCCTATACCTCGCCTCTTGCGCGGCCTTTTCTTGCTGCAGCTTCCACTGTTCTTCCTGTTCCTCCCAGGGACATGCCAAGGGCGGCCGCAGATGCCCAGTGGATTTCCATGGGCAAAGCAGGGAATCCTTTTTTTGGGTTGGTTGAGTTTAAAGGGGAACCCTTGACAAACAAAAGGAAAACAGGTGCGACTAGGCAACTGGGCAGAGGGGGCGTGTCGTCGCTTCTGAGCATCTGTGAAGCTTCCCAAACTGACTCTAGGACATCCCTCACAGTTGCAGGTTCACAACTATCCGGTTGGACACGAAATTCGCAGGTCCCACAAACATGCAAAAGCATCAGCTGGAGCTCACTATAGGAAAAACATAACAACTGTGTTTAAACTCTTCAAAGTGAGAGAGGATGTATCTGGAGGGTCGCACTCTCAATACTCGGCAATGAAACGTCAGAACCACAATCAGAACCACAAATCCCAACAGCAGAACCACTCTGGAACCAAGGACGCTCAAAAAAAGCACTGCTCCGGCCAGGCCACAAATGGAAACCAACAGAAATCGCCGGCCCTTGCCTGAAATCCTGCCCAGGCCCTCCAAACAACCAGCAAACAGCTCAGGCAAAAACAATCACATATCAAGATTTGTAGCACAGGCTTGGCTTCCCTCCGTCCATTTTAGCCTCAAGGGAACTTCTGAAGCTTGATGCCGACATGTCCGATTGGCATTCAACCAAGCTGCTTTGACTGAACCAATCAACTCACTGGTGTCAAACCCTAGTGTGGATGGACGAAACCTGTTCGCGCCACTTTGCAAACGTGGGAAACCTTTGTTAGTTGGTATTTACAGGGGAGTCATCAGAAAAAGGGGGGGGTAGGTGGTGCCTGAGAGGATTTCGTCCATCCACGTCCCCTGATAGATTGATTTCCTGAGTTCAATGCCCAATGCCCACGCCCCTAGACCCACAGCGAGCCCTCCTTGCTGTGACCTGGGCGGGCAGAAAAGATGCGCGAGCAGCTGGAGAGTGGAGAGCTTGTGTCTGAGAAGTCGTGTAGCGAAAAAACAAGAAACAACTCAGAGTAGATCATGGTTCGACTCAATGAAATTGCGTGAGAAACACCTTGATGTTGAACAGTATCCTCCGTTTGCGGGCTCCATTTTCGTGCCCAAAAAGGTGAATCTATTCTCTCAAGTTCACTGCGGGCCCATTGGCCAAAGCGCCTGCTGTCCATGGCCAGACCGGGGCCCCGGCCTATTGGCATGGGAGGCAAACCGGCCAGAGGCATCTTGGTGGAAGTTGCCTGCAACGCGACGTCTTGGCAGATTCCAGGCTTTAGGCTTTTTTTTTGGTCAATGTCTGCCCAATTTCTGCAGGTCTCGTAAAACAGTGCCCCACCGTTTTGTTTCCACCTTTTCCCCTGCAATGCAATTTGCCCGATGTGTGAGAGGGGTATTAAATAGACATAGAACATTCTTGAGACTGAGGCCAGCGTAGGCATTTGCAGCTTCTGATGAGCCCCTGATCCACGCAGCGCACGTCAAGCCAAGCACGCCGCCGCCGCAGCAGCAGCAACAGCAGCAACAAGAGCAACAACAGCAACAGCAGCAACAGCAGGTGACACGCAGGTGACACGCAGGCACAAAGTTCAAGAGTCGCTGTGACTTCGAATCAACTGCCAGCAATTCCAAACACTCAGATTTGAACAGAGTCTGACTCACGTGGCAGTTATCATGATGGTTAATCTTCTTATTCTAGTTCATCTTCGGTCAAAGTAGCAAAGCGGCCAACATACTTCTGGCCGAGGCCATTCTCATCGCTTTACGTCTTGCGAGAGCACGGGCTTTTCAGTTGTGAGACCAAGTGCTCCCTGGAATATGGTTACCGTGTAGACTCTGGTTGAGATCCAAACCTGTCATTGATCAGTTTGGCACATGGTGTTGAAACACAAGCATAAAGCGGCCAAATCCATTGCCTGAATCAACGATGGCGTTCGCTTCTTTGGACAGCTGTCGAGTCAATACTGCTGCAAGCGCTGCTTGAAACCTGTATACCTGTAGGGGGTTTGTTTGAAGCTGCCACGCTTCGTGAAACGGGGGTTGGCACAAATAAGCAGAGCTCCAACCAAACAGGGTCTGCCAACCCGCCCGCAGACCCCAAAATAAATACTGGTGACCCTCCCTTCCAACATGGAACCTCACAGGGTTTTTCTGGGAAGTTGATCTTCTATCCACCTGCCGACCTGAAGCGCTTCGTCCGCTTTCGTGGCTTCGAAAGCCAAGCTCCGAAACGAGCTCCACGGGATCGGAACCATTGCCTCGTCGAGGTCCAGCAGGCCGCGGTTTCTCAACAACTCGCTGTTGGCTTCGCAGACGCTCTGCTGCACCTGGCGCTTTGCCAGCCTATGGAGTCTAAAGAAGAAAAACAAGTGCCCGGGCCCGGGCAAATTGCGGGCATGCTGGAAGGGAGATCCAAACACAGTCTGCACGGTGAATCTCCGTGGAATGCCAACCAAATGCACGAAGTTGGATGCTGAACACCGGGGACGAGTTTACAGGCGAGAACGGGCCTGATGCTGCGGGCTTGAGGTCGGCTGATAACCCAGGAAGGAAAGCACACATCCACCCATCGCGAGCTGAAGCCTGTTCTGCAAGGAATAGACATTACACATATGCATATCGTGTATCTATATATATATATATTATATTAACATATACCTATATGCAACAAGTACATTGTAATGTAGTTTTAAACTCATAGCGGCCCATATCAAGGCCAATGCATTTTCCTTTGACGGGGGCTAGAAACGGTACGACCCAAGGAGTTGCTGGACTTGTAGCGGACGTTTAACATATGGATTGTTAGGCTGGAACGCTGCACACGGAATGACAGGAGCTTGCAGTTTCAGGTGGTTGGGCCAGTTTCGGCTGTGCAAACAGGCTGGGATTTAACAAGCAGGTCCTGTGGTCCTTCAGAAACTCGGCCTCTGCGCTGAACAGGAAAGGAAACGGAAGCACGATGAGCACACCAGAACACAACCTCTCGTCGGAGGACTGCCTCGTGCTATGGAATGCGTACAAGCACATTCCGTACACCATGCTGAGTACCTGCATTGGTTGATAGCAAAAGCAACAACCACTGCTAAACTTACCAGATATGACATAAGCTGCGCCAAACCTATGCTTTTCGACGTGCAACTACTGTTTCGTGGCTTGTTTCTGTCCACAACTCTTTTCTCACTGATCCAGATGCGTGAATTGTGAGCAATATTCGCTCTGACAAGTTGATGAAATGTGTTGCTACTGTACTGCATTGAAAAGAAACATGATGCAAGCTAGCAGAATTCAATCAACGGACACAACTACAGACCGACCTATGCTTCTACTTGCATCAGCAGCCAGCAACACGTTAGTACATTATAAACATTGTTCGTGTTCGTCACTGTGCTGCAGCACCAAGCATGCCCCACAATAGTTCTAGTTCTAATCTATACAGCAGCCAGCGTTGTAAATCAAGTCCGAACACACTTCCCCCGTCAATCAGTCTGTATGCGGGACCCACTTCCTGAATCAAAAGAACATGAGACTGTGTAATTTTCAGGGCGCCTGTTTTAGGGACACTCATGGAACCCGCCCATTTTTCGGGGGGGCAAACCACCGGACAAAAACAGACGCAGCCCCCCCGCTGCCTTTGTTCGCCTCGCGCCTCCTGGCGCCAGGGCTCCTTGCCCAGGGAGCTCAGCAGCTGATCGCAGCTCCCGGGCCCCAGCCGTGCCCGGCACAGCGCCGACACCGCCCTCGGATGGCGCGGCAAGCCGCGAGCATGTGCCATGACAACGTCGTATCCCAGCGTCACACGGCTCAGTGACAAGCGACTTCGTAGCCAGCTCATGACACTCCCCACTGACTGAAAGTGGTATCCATATTGTAGTCAGCAAGAAGATGACTGTGGCGTTCTGCAGCCGAGCAGCAACTCATCCTGCCAAAACGTGCTGAGTCCGAATCGGGCTGTTTGCTGGCTCAAACATCATCAACCTAGTACATATCATTTTGAATGATCCCTCGTGAAGGGCCTGCTACAACACCCAAGCCTGCCTTGCAACACGCATGGCAGGACGGCGGACACTCTCGTGCCCCGATGCTTCGCGAACACTCTCTTGCCCCGATGCTTCGGCCTGCGCACGGCCTAGAACAATATGTGGAGTCAAAACATTCAGTATGGTCCGAATCACGTTTCAACATGATTCATGTGCATTGCTTGATGTCGCGGTATATGCTTGCATCATGAACAAGAGCAATGATCAACGTAATGAACGAGCAAAGTAGCATCCAAACTTGCGTGAGTGTGTTTGATTGAATGCTAAGGTCGCCATCGGCCCTTATCTGCTGTATACCAGGGGCTAGCGGCCGATAGCATGGGCTGGGGCCAACAAACTGGGGCGGAACTGTGATACATGTTCAACATAATGGGTTCCAAATGGTTCCAATCTGCATGGGCAGAATACAGGTATCCTTCCATCATGTTTTCTGGTAAACAATCCCAGTGCGCTTCAGGCTAGCATGCCAACGTATTTGTCCCATCGAAAAGACTCTTGTTTGCAGATTTGTGGGGATGTTCAAGTACGCACAAAAAATATGAGCATGTCTATGGATTCATCGGAACCTTTGGCAAGCCAGGCCTTCATACTTGGAAGGTTTGCTGATGTGTCTCTTGCCTCGAACAAGAACCGACCAACCATCAGTTGGCAAAAGCCCTCGGTGCCAATGAAGGAAGCCAAAAGGACAACTCAAACAAGTAGCAACCAAAAGGAATCAATCCAATTAAGCGGAACACCACCCCCTTTAAGGGAAACCACTTGGGCGGCTACCCCGACATGTCGGGGCAGGCAGTCCTGTCCCGCGATGCGCTCCACCAAGCGTTGGCACTCGCTTCCTGAGGCCGCCACAATGAACAGTGGGTCAAAATGAGGTAACTCCAGAATCTCATACATGGACTGGGCGTGTATTTGCCTAAGTGCCGTGCCTGGAGCTGGGCAAAGGGTCGGAGGTATGATTCGGGTATGATTCGAGGGTACGGTTCGGGTATGGCTTGCACGTCGCAAGTCGTCTGGAGTTTAAGCTGGCAGAAACCGAGCCGCTCAGTTGCCACATGGAACACTTCCTATGGCCTGAACTAGACTGCGACAGGGTAAACTCTGCACCAAGCTGTGGTGGCTGGGCCATACTCTGTGGGCCCGCAAGCAGCAGCTAAGACTGCAACCAACTCTGCAGCTGCGACCACGTTTCGGCAAACTTGTGCCCCGATGGCCGCGTTGCCCTCTGACGTCAATTTCGGGGGTTCAGCGGATTTCTACGGAGGAGGTTCCACGCGCAAACCTCAAACACAAGCAGGCTCAAAGCAGCCGCGAGCCGGACTTCAGCAAGTCGACACCTGCCTCCTCAGAGATTGCAAGCTGTGCGGGCTTTGCGACGCCGATGCTGTTGCTCGATCGCCAAAACCGGTGGCTGGCCACGCAGGTTTACGTGGCAAACCAAAGGTTTGACCACCCCGCCTCTCTCACGGGCCCATTAGGCCACTCGCATGCCAAAGGTGTGACCACCCCGCCTCTCTCACGGGCCCATTAGGCCACTCGCATGTCAGCGCCTCACTCTTAATTATGGACGTGCTGCTGTGGAGGGTAAGTAAATTGCGGGCGCGCCTGCGCAACAGTCAGCCGGGCAAATGTGGACATTTCTCAGCGTTTCCTCGCGAATCTGCTTGCGCCATTTGGCCTTCTTGCTAGCCAATGAGCGTGGCCATGATCTATGCCCCAGAATCTTGTGGGCGGTCTGTAGCGTTATGACGCGTCTTTCTTTCTGCGTCAGCCCTTCAAGAAGCATCAGCAGCATTCGCGCGCCAGGTTTGTGGGGAGACTGGCACACTCAAACTTGAGCAGCCGACCCGCAGCTGTCATTTGGAAGCTGATCCAGATAGCCCGCAAGCGGGGCCGATGGAAAGGGTAGCGGATTCGCAAAATCTGCTATCCAGCCACTCTTTAAATCTGCGCAAACCTTCTGCTTCCAGTCAGGAAGATTCAATGTTCCGTCCAGGCAGCACGTGGGCTCTGTCCTACCTGAGCTTCGGCAAGGCAACCCATCTGCGACTGTTTGCGAAGGAGGCAAGGAACGATAAGGGGGAGGAGCAGGCGGTCCTTTTGGTGATAGCAACTCAGAAAAAAGGCTCAGCTAAAGAAGCAAGCCCCAAATAGACAAACGGGCAACGCGCTAGGCAGTGACACTTCACTCCGCGCAAACTTCGGCCGCAATAAGGCCAACAAGGTTCTCAATTAAGCCTTATTTCTAGCTTTCTTCTACCTTAACCTACGTTTACCTTATGTTTGCTTTATGTCAGCCTTATTTTGGCGAGCTTATTTCGAGCTTATTTCAATCTTATTCTGACCCGAGTTTAAAATCGAAATAGCTATTCTTGCCTTGGGTTCTAGAGGATTTGCAACACCCCCTACTTCCCATGAGCACACATCCGTACATAGCGACGCTGTCAGGATGACTTGCGAGTAGGCAGACATAAACAGCAGGCCCCTCGCAATGGCGCTCACAAGAATGTTTGCAGCACGCCAACAAACGCTGCTTCCTCGCATCTCCGAGCTCCAGCCGCTTTTTGCGCGAGCATCGTCCGGCATCTTCTGAAGAGTTGGTCGCTTTAGCTTCAGTTTGGTTGTTAGGGCGCCCGATGCTGCAATGATCTTGGTTGCAGATGGCTGCGGATGCGGAAGGGTATGGCTTGGGGTGTGATTCCGGCATGAATGGAGGCTTTGAGTCGCGGGAAGGCTTTTTACCGATGAAAAGACACAAAAGGAGCATGTAGTCCTCTAAGAAAAGAGGCACTGCCCTCGCACCGGAAGAGACGCTTCATGTCATGTGGAGCGATGAAAGAGAGTGAGTCGACCCGCGCAAAGTCGCCAAAGGTTTGGTTGTCCCGTTGCAGAGCCCTTGAGCCTTCATTGTCAAGCTTCGACACAAAGCCGGCAAAGGGCGCGCACGTCCACCCTTCGGCCGTCAGCTGGCGCATGACGTACTGCGAACTAACCCCAACCTGCGTGGGGACAAACAGGTTTTTTGTGCAACACTGATGGGAAAAGCCCTGTTGCATACTCGAAAATATCGGGGCCAAAGCTCATGCGCAAACACCAGGTTTAGATAAGGCTTTCAAACTAGTCTTACAAGATCCGCGGTTGGTAGAGACTCCTTTTTGGAGTTTCTTCTGACTCATATAGTGTATGAATCGGGTATGGTTCGCCTAGGTCCCACTTCCCACGTAGACTAAAGAATCGACACGACAAACAAATAGAACTCAGCGGTCTGTTTGGTGGCTTAATTTTGACCCACACCCGAATCTGGATGTTTTAAGCGTACATCTTTCAGTACCCCTGACAATGGTTCTAGATCTTCATTGTCTTCCCCAATCAACCAATAATATGTCAGTGTCACTACACCAAAGCCTTCGTAAAGCTCTTAATTGACCGTGGATGCTAATCATTTCTGCTATTCCAGTGATTAATATTATACAGCCAAAGAGATCTGGAGTCAGAGGAGGATAAATCGCCTCGTTGCTCATACGCGCTTTCGGCGGCTTTCGCCCCCGGATTTGAAACATGTTGCAGTTTCCCGTCCCTGGCTGATCCATTTAGTTGGCGGGAGGCACACGCATGTTGCAGGTTGCCTTGACTGCAAATGCATCGTCACCTGAACCATTTTGAGCTGTTACTCCGGAGTGGAATGCGGGATGATAGTCCATTGTGGGAGTGTATGGTTTCCATGCGAGGCCCCCACCCCCCCACCCATGTCGGCTGGCCCAAAATCCTGTCCGGCGGGCCTTGAAATTTTCGGGGTTCGTCGGCGTCCAGCTCCATGGGTCCATTTTTGTCGAAGATGTGCTGCGAAAAACTCCTGAAAGCAACCCGCTGGCCAGGCCTGTCAGCCCAGCCCACCCAGCCTCAGGCCCAAGCTTGTCTGAATCCAGCAAGCCAAGTCCCAGGGCCCGGCGCATCTCAGGGCATGCCAGCCACTAGGCCGGCCCCCAGCTCCCAGCAACCTCAGCCCAGCATGCCAAGGTCAGGTTTGTCTACTGGCTATGCCAGCTACTCAGCCTGTCTGACGTGCCCCAGCCCCTCAGTCCGGCTGCCCAGCCTCAGGCCCAGTCCCTCAGCCCGCCTGCTAGCGTGTCTTTCTGCAACTGGCCTCAGCCCAGCCAGCAACTCGCCACCCAGCCTCAGGAAACAGGCCTTGCCCATCCAGCAACCCGCCCAAGCACAGCTCAGCCCAGCCCGCCCAGCCCAAGCTTCAGGCACAGCCAGCAGCGTAGTCCGGCTGCCCGGCAGCCAGCTGAGAGGCCCAGCCCAACCAGCAACCCACCTCAGCCCAGCCTGCCCAGGCATCTTAGAGCATGCCAGCCCCCCCAAGCTCCCAGCCCACAAGCAGGCTCAGCCCAGCGTGCCAAGGTCAGGTCTACGTGTTTGAGACTGGCCAAGCTACGCCAGCTGTCTGACGTGCCCCAGCCCCCCAGTCCGGCTGCCCAAGCAGCTCAGCCCAGGCTGACCAGGCCTTGACCTCCTGCTCGTGTCTGGCTCCAAGTCATCCAGCAGGCCCAGCCCCTTCGATCAAAGGTATGCCAGCCTGGGACTAGCCTCACCCAGTCCCTCAGCCGGCGTGTCTTACGTGTCTGCAACTGGCCCAGCCAGCAACTACCCAGCCTCAGGCCCCAAGTGTGTATGACAGGCCTTGCCCATCCAGCAACCCCAGCAGCGTAGTCCGGCTGCCCAGCAGCCAGCAACCCACCCATGGCTTGCTCAGGCCAACGACCAGTCTCACGTGTCTGAGACTGGTCTCAAGCTATGCCAGGACGTGCCCCAGCCCCTCTGTCCGACTGCCCAAGCAGCTCAGCCCAGGCCATCCAGCAGGCCCAGCCCCTTGTCTCAAAGTATGCCAGCCTGAGACTAGCCTGCCTGCTGGCGTGTCTGCGACTGGCCTCAGCTCAGGCCCAGCAGCCAGCAACTCAGCCTCAGGCCCAAGTGTGTATGAAACAGCCAGTCCGCCTGCTGGCCAGGCCTGTCTGACGGCCTCAGGCCCAGCCCAGCCATAGCCCAGCCCCCTCAGTGCGGCTGCCCAGCACCGAGCAAGAAATGTACGTCATGGCAAGCCGCCAGCCACGTGAAATGGAGGTGCCCAAACACCCAAAGTTGGTCTTGGTTGTTCAGTGACACCAATTATTGTTCCCCTTTTTATGGAGGCCAAGCCCCACTAAAAATGCTCATCCCCAGAAAGAGGTCCTTTTTTTTCCAAGGGCACTGAGCAGCTGAGATAGTCTTGGTTTTGGATTTCAAACCTTCCGAGCAGGACGGCTTCCGAACATCGAACTAGCACGGGCGAACTGGTGCGGTCACAAGCTTTCAGTAGGATTCGGACCTTCCCAACACTGGATTTCGGTGTTCCTGACCCTTCCCTCAAACTAGGCTGGGCCGAGGCGGGCAACGCGAAGCGTTTACAATTATGGGTTTCTTCCCCCCAGCCCCAGATCACGAGTATGTCTTCCCTTGGTTTCCATTTGCAGGGGTCACTGGATTTCCCTCAATTTACTGTTTCCACCAAAACGATCGCCACGAAATGGAGCTTCCCTTCAAGGGGCAACGGCTTGGACACCCTATTTGAGAATACCCCTTTTCGTTTTTTGTTGTTTTTTTTTACAGGGATCCCACCCGGAACCCCAGCCATTTTTGGGGAGCCCACCCGGAAACCCATTTGGAGCCTAAGCCAACGGACAGCGACCAGCGACCGAACATCGCGATCGCTCTAAGCTCTGCGCGGAGCTCTGCCAGCGCGGAAGCGGCCAGGCCAATGAAGCAAAGGCCTGGTGGGGATTTTGCTTCGGCGGCCACGTGAAGAAAAATCATGGACTCACCTGCCGAGTGGATGGCCAAAAAAAAGTCCAAACTTTATATATACCACTAAAATGGTCTTCCCAAAAAGTTTAAAGTTCATGAACTCAGGAAGTGAGTGGAGACTCTGCAGGAAATTGGGCGTGTGTCTGCTGGGTGTCTTTGGGTTCTGCTTTGACACCAATCAAACTTTGGTAGCCACTGCCTGAATATGTCTTTGCAGCCCCCTACTAAACATGAACAGAACCAAAAGGACAAAAACCTGACAACATGCCAACAACAGTGAGGGGAGAATCTGCAGGAATTTGGCCCGCCGCAAGAATTCAAAACCGCGGGCTTTAAAGAGATGAGGATTTCTTCGATGGATTCCCCTGCTGTTCGGGATACTAGGATAGCCTCGACAAGGGCTTGCGTGGCGTGCTGGTGTCGTTACTTTCTTCTGTTCAATAGGACTCTTGAATAGTGAAATTACTACAGCTCGCGCCGGCCGAGGGCTTGCATAGGTGCCAAACCAAAAACTGCCACCACACGTTGACCATTTAAGGATCTGCTGTGGGCGGTTGAAACAAGTCAGCCGATCCATGAAACTAACTCTGCGAAAACAAGAGTGCGGAAAGTCTCTGCGGCATCCAAGTTGCACCTGGACAGAAACTACAAACAGAAATAAAGTGAATGAATCCAAAAGTAAAAACAAAGGACTTGGAGAAGAACTATTGGTATAACTGGCTTATCACATTCGTATGTCGTTGCTCAGTGCAAACCTAAGCCCTTTGAGGCCTCCGAAGGTAAGCCAATCGTTGCAACCTCCATGAAACGGCTATGCCCAAAAGCCCCGGAGCTGGGACGTTCGTGCACCTCTGCCTTCGGCTCTGCCCAGGTGAAACTGCTTCTTAATGACCCGCCGCGCCTGCCAGCATGGCTAGCCGAAAGCTCAACCAGTGAAAGTCAGGAAAGAGGTGAGAAAATCCTCGTGGAACTTGTCTCTGCGTGTCGCTGTTGCGAGTTGTTGTGCTTGAGCCAGGGCCGCTGAACGGCCATGCGTACACTCTAAGCCAGGCACCTTCTTCAGTGAAACAAACCAACCAACCAAACAAACCACACAAACAGGTACAAAACAAGACCAAAAAGAAGAAGCAAACACGCAAACAAACAATCAAGCAAACAATCAAAGAAACCATGCAAACGCAGATCAATCGGCACAAACCCATTAAATTATAGCATAGTATTGTATCAAAATTCTGACACGATCAACATCACAATCCAACAATGCCCTGCCCAAAAGGATAAACCAAGGATCTGCTCTCATCTCCCGCTAGGAAATCAGCCGTTTCGAGGGACTGAGTAGCTGTCGACGCCGCAAAAAGCAAAGCAGCCCGCGTTTTTCTTCCGGCGCTCAGAGCTCGTTGTGCATGGCAGCCCAGCTTCGTATCACCGGATCTAGGCCTGGCCAATGATCCGGGTTCTGCGTTGCCTATCGCCGAATGGGGACCCCAAAAGCTTTGCTGAAAAAAGGTGTCCCTTCAATTGAAATTGAGAAGTAACATTGATTGGGGGTGCATGCATGGTGCAGCTTGTTGCCAGCAAATGCAAAAGGCAGCCAAAAGGAAGCCGCCGAAGAGATCCATAGCACAGCCAAACTGCAAAACCCACCAACCTCAATCAAAGGTGGTTCATGATTGAGTTAGGCCCAGTTGTAGAATGTATAAGTTTTTTGTTTGCTTCACTTCGAGTCACTGGTAAAATGCAAAATGTATCCTTAGTCTACCCGCGGGTTGATTGCCACTCGGAACTCGGGCTTTGAATGTAGCAAACAGCAGTGGACTCAGCTGCAAAGTTGGGAAGCAACAAGCAACTCAAACACTGAACAAAAGTGACGTGGGTCTGTCTCAAACTAGGCTTTTCCTTCCTGCTAAAACATATCCTACATGTACTTGTACTGATCCAGCAGCATCCAGCTCCAAATGATGGGCTTCTTGTTCTACACAGTCTACTCTTGTGACCTTCCTCACATGCATAACGCGAGCACAGCGCGCAGGTCTCGGTAGGTCTAGCCCTCTGCAAGATCTGCAAAAGCGCCCTGCCCTGACATGTTTGTCGACTTTCGCGAAGCTCAACAAGCGCAGCATGCGTCAAATGACGCAAAATGACGCAAAGAAACACTTGCGTGGCTTCATGCAGCATTTTGTTGTTTCGCCGCACCAAGATGATCTCAAAAACAAGCGAGAAGCCAACGAGATAAACTCACTTCTTGAGTGGATGGGCCAAAATCAGTCTATGTTTTACCACTCAAGTGGTCTGCCCAAAAAGTTTAAAGTCCGGGAACTCGGGAAGTGAGTATATAAATCTGCAGTCCAGCCAAGGAACCCCAACCTATCCTGTCTTCAATCAAGGCCAGCCTTGTTCTTTGAAGGCACTCTTTTCGGCCATAAGCTCTTCCAGGGAAAGATGATCGTCCTTGTCCTTGTCAGCGATCCCCCGCATACCTTGTTCAGCGGCACGCTGCTCATGGGTTGCGCAAGGCTGTGCCGCTTTGGACAATTGTTAGAACGCAATACGATGAAATATCAAATCATACCGGACCGAACTTTGTGCCTTCTAGACTAAGTTAGCTTGTTTGTGGTTCGCACTGCGCCTCCCCAAGCATACCTACGCCATCCTACGCCCCTGCTGCACTTTGCTGCGGACCGTACTTTCATGGCATCCAGCTCACGCCCCACTTGCGGCGCCTTTGTTTTTTCCGCAGCGGTCTACTTCTGACTGTGGCCCTGTTGACTTCACCAGTCAGGACATGGATCTCAAGGGAGGCCAACCCCCGGCCTTAGGGGTGTTCCTCCTCCCCCTCCCGGCACTTGCCATGCCGGAACGGATCAACGAATCAATCCGCAGACTCGAACAACTTCCGTGCCGGGAAGCGGATCATGACGTTCACAAAGTCCAGAATGCCGGCGGACCACTCGTGCAGCTCCTCCATGTCTATCTTGTCATCCTGCGACTCGCAGGGCCCATTGGACCAGATTCACATGCACATTGGCGATGGGGCGCGGTTCACCCTGAAACGCCTTGCCCACAACAGACACGACACTCTTGCAAGCTTGACCCCATACCTGCTTCCACAAACAACAAGCGTGAAAGCAAGCCCAGGTGGTATCCCCAACCCCCCAAACGGGAAACGGGGCTGTTAAAGAATTAGAATGGGAGGTTGGTGTACCATAACACTCATTTAAGTTGTGTGACCCTGGAAGCGAGTCCAATTCTTTCAGCTGGGGGCAAAACGGTTTTTTTCGGCTGCCGAATGGGAGGTTGGGTGCCAAAAAGAACTTTCTTTCCAGCTATGACCATGATTCTCGATTCTTGATCGAGGGGCCCCGCACACCTCATGAGAGGTTGACCAAGGTGACCTGCAGTCCCCTCGTAGCGGTGGTACCACAACTGTGGATGTTTGCGAAATCCATGCCCCGCACCACCTAAGAAACCCTGGTTGTGATTCGATTTCCGTGTACATGCCAATAAATTATGGTGTCATCCATGTTTTTTGTCCCATGGTTTCCAGTGGTGCGGGATTACGTCCATCCACAGTAGGGATCTGGGCGAGCCCGGCGCCGTTGGCATCCACGTGTCCGAAGCTGGAGGGGAAGTTCTTCTCCTCAAACTCCTCCCTGGCGCTCGGGACAAGAGCTGTTGCTGTGAATGTTGGGAGACCTGAAATGGACATCAACTTCGGTGGTGCCCACCAGCCACTTTTGGAGCTGGATCCCTATTAGTAGTCAGCATATGTTGATTTATGCAAATACAGTTGATGTATCTATATTATGTTTAACGCTAAGTTTCGAAAAGGCATAATACGGTTTGCTCATGAAGTTGGGCGTGGATTTTATTCAAGGACCCTTTGGTGGACATCAATTTTCGGTGGGAATTCATGTCCCACCACGTGAGTAAAGCGCATATGTCCATGTACATATATGTATATATATATATATGTATACATGTTTCACAAGTTCAACATTGAAACTATGTATATTCCTGAGAAACATCTACACCGAACAGGACATTATACCTTCTGCATCGAGACATTTGTGTCGAGTCCGGAACATGGGTGAACGTTCAAGAGAGCTTGTGGAGACACACAAACACACACCAGCGGAAGATATTTCATTTCACACATTCCGCACCACGGGATCTTAATCTGGATCAAGGAGCAGTGTTTGGTCTCGGATGAACTTCAAGGGCCCGGGAAGGCAGTGAACGGGGAGAGTTCAATCCTACGAGCTATCCGCGCACTTTGTGTTTGCCTTAGACACTTATTCTTTTTAAACAAACCAAGTTGGCAGTGGGCCAGGGCCAAGTTGGCATTTCAGATTCTCTGCTCAAGCTTGACATGTGAGTATCCAGCGCATCCGAACTCAGTGGGCAACTGAGGGAAACCGCAGGCCAAACATCCGAAACCGCGCAAATCGAGGGCTGCTGGCGCTGCCTGTCAGAAGCGCATGCGGCCAGGGAAATAGCTACACAAAGAGAAGCCCTGGATGTCTAATCTCCCAGTTGATAGCGCACAGTTGCTTTGGAGTTGGGATCCTGGTGGGATCTCGTCCCTTCTCGTCCACCTGGTCAATTGATTTTGACATTCAATTGATATTTCCAAGCCACCCAACCGGCCGAAAAAAAAAAAAAAAAGAAGAAAAAACAACCACAACAACGGATTTTCGGCCCTTAGTCCCTTCGGAGTGCTCGGAGATTTCTCGTCCGAGCGGCGCAGAAATGGTGCCATCCTTGTCCTGATCTGCCATCTCCATGAGGTGCTTTGTCTCAATGATGGAGACCTCGTCTAACGCTTGCTGGTGCGATAGGGTCCCTGTGGGAATGAACCGGTTTTGGGGATTCCCGAATAAAGGAAACCATCCGTTGGATGGTTTGTAGGGGTCATTACCAGCAAGTTTAAGCCCTCCGAAAGAATCGGGAAGGAACTCATGTCCAGTTGAGACATGCTTCTAAAAAGATAGCCCCTTGTGCCAGACAATGTCTCAGTACAACTTTGATCCGATTTGCACAAAGTCGGGGTAGGGCAAAGTAGCCAAATTCCGGACACGAAGCATCGCACTATGTGGCATGTGCTTGAAGGCGAAGGGATGATCAATGCCCTACTAGACTGCGCCCTGCATGGACATCAAATTGCAAGCCGATATTTAGTTTGGCCATGAATCATGAAAAGCGGACTGCCACCGCCATGCCGCCATTCATTCTCGGAGTTTCAACATACACGTTGCACCTAATGAAAACCAAACAAGGATAGCCCTGTCTGTGCCAGCTCAAGCGCCAGTGCAATACTTCTGCGCGGCATTCAGCAACATGGCTGCTAAGCATTCCCGAAGCAACATCTGTGAGCCCAAGGTGGGCCACCGGGCACGGCGGTCTAAGTTCGGATGAAAGAAGTAGATCAGCTCATCCTGTGAAAGCACCTGGCAAACTGGCAAAGCGAAAGACGTCATCCGCGATATCGATTTCATCCACAAAGAACTCTGACACAACTTCCACCCGAGGCTACCAACAACCCAACTATACAAATATGACTACAATCATTATTGATATTCTTATCGGCCGTTTTCTCGCAGCCATCATCCAGAACCTCCATTTGAACTTACACTAAACGGTGCCACAGCAACAACGCTTGCGCACAACGAGTGTAGCAATGTCGCTACCTCGACCTGTGCTCAAGGAAGCAGCTCACACAAGTGTTGCTCTGCCGCGCATGAAAGGTTGTGGTAGTTGCAAGCCCAAGTCTTGGAATCAATGCGCGGCATGCTTTAAAGCATCATCTGGCTGCAATCCTTCTAACTCCCGGGGGGCTGTACATACACATTCCGCCTCTTTTACCTTCTTACAATAGGTGGTCAAATACATCCAGGTCAGCATAATATTGTAGACTCGACGTGCTGAGCCCAGCATTCCTTCCCCAT